AAGAAAGAAATAAAATAGTTTTATTTAAAAAAGGACTTATATCGCTGAAGTTCCTCGGGAAGAAATTTTACGGAAATTAACAAACGACCAGAGACGTAACAATTTCTTTTTCTTGATACAAAACTTACAATTAAATATTATAATTGCATACTTCACCTTTTGCAACCAGTTTTGAAATGTTTTTGTTTTAAATATTTCTTTTAAAAACCAATCTTAACAAGCAAAATAATTATATTTCCTATTCAAATGGTTCAGCTATCAGAACTGTGATATTTGACGAATAGAGCGAGATCTAATTTTATAAGAATTTGTATACAATAAAACTTTTTTTTCAAGATATTTTTTGGAACGTGTGTAATGTTAAATTTCGAAAAGTAAAAAGTTTTATTTAAAAACAATGATTATTTTTTTTTCACAGAATTCAATAGAATGAGAGTGTTTCTAGTCTCCAAATTATTAAAATAAAATAATAACTTACTGTACAAGGCTAAAAAAGTGGTAAAATCCCCGACGTGACTGGAAAACAATATCATACACTCTATATGTTTCGACATATATCTTTCGTCATCCTAAGGAGTGTAATGTTTTGCAAAAATAACACTTACGTATATACAGTTATCAAAGCACCAATTTACATATTAAAGAATTTCACGCCATCTGCTGACAACATTTCCATCAGGTCCATCATCCTTATTCAATAATTTAAATTTACTTTTCTTACATTTAATTATCTCAGCAGTAGATTGACGTATATTCATACCAATTACATTTCCATTGTGCTAAAATAACAGTTTTTTCCCATTGAATTGTGTGATTAGTTTCACTAACATGTTCTGCTAAATGTGAAATAGTAATATTTTTTTAACATTTATTTTATGTTCATTCAGCCTGTATTTTAAATATCTTTTAGTTTGTTCTATATAATTTTTTTTTACATTCACATAATATTTTATATATATATATGCCAAATTTTTCCACTAATTCAATTTTATCTTTAGTTTTATTAAGAATTTCGTTGACTTTATTTATCGGTTTGTATATCGGGAAAATATTTATTTGTTTTTAAATTATTTCATCATTTGACACAATAAACCAGGTATATATGATAGTACTAAACATTCTTTCTTACTTTTTTAAGCAAATGGTTTTAACTTAATATTTTTATCCCTGTTTTTTAGTTTTATGACAGCTCTGTCAACAACATTTGGATTAAAACCTCTCTCCACTGCTATGTGCTTAATTAACAATAACTCATTATTGATATCATCCTGTTTACAACATAATTTTAATATCCTGTTCACACATGAGTAAAAAAAACCGTTTTTTTGAATTGTAGTGTGACAAGGTTGTTGATGTGGCGGAATGATTACAGAGAAAGGTTTACGATAAATGATAGTTTCCAATTTATCCTTATTTTTACTCACTAAAACATCCAAAAAAAAGGTAAACAACCATTAATCTCAATGTCATAATTAAATCTTATAGAATTATCAATGTTATTAAGGTAATTAGCAAAATTAGCTAATTCATCTTTACCATACCGCCAAATCAAAAATGTGTCATCTACATACCTTAACCAAAATACAGTTTTTTTTATCTGAAATCAGTTCAAAAATAATCAACACTTGGGGAAAACTCGCCATTACACAAAAAATTCATGTTGCCTTCAAATTCACTCAAACAGCCGGCCCTAAACTATTAGGTCGTCAAAAAATTAATGTCACGTTTTGAAACATTTTCAATAACCACACCCCAAAAAACGTACATCACATATAATAGTTAAACAAACCGCCTAAACATCACGTTAATGTAGCCTAGATAATGTGTAAAGTTTAGTATACTCTAATTCCTTATAGTGATGGCACACGACAGGACACACATTCGGCATGTAATGTTGTTTGAATACAAGAAGGAAAACAACGCCTCTGTAACCACAAAGAATACCAAAGAAGTTTATGGAAATGTTTTGAACGTTCGTAAGTGTCAACGATGGTTCAGCAAATTTTGTTCAGGTGCAGTAGCGTGCAGAGGGGGGGGGGGGGGCGAAAGGTGCCGGGGCCCCGGGAATCCATATCGGGAGGGCATCCAACGCAAAAAGTCGAATCGTATAGTAGAACCCTTTCTGCGCTTCCCCAAGGTCTTAGGTACAAGGCCCCGGGCATCATAGAACCTCTTCATGCCACTGTTCAAGTGACTTTAGCCTTAAAAAGTGTGATGGCGGGTACCGACATGTTGGAATTGATATTGATGCTCTGAAGACGCTTGTTAAGTCTAACAACATGTGAACGTTGCTTCGTCTCTTCTGGCACGTAGTGCACGTGAACCTTTTTTGGACAGAATTGTCACCGGTGACGAAAGATTCTCTAATATTAAACGCCAAAAACAATGGCCCAGTCCTATACAAAAACCATTTCCGATCCCAAAACCTGGACTCCATCCGCAGAAATTGATGTTTTACATTTGGTGGGACATCAAAGGAGCAATTCATTTCGAACTTCTAAATTCACAGCGAACTGTCAATGCAGAGATCTATAGTCAGCAATTGGAACGTTTAAATCAAGGCCTTCATCAAAAACGCCCTTCACTCTCAATCGGAAAGGTGTTCTTCTTCTCC